AAAAAACATCTGTCACTCCAAAACAAAATATCCTGTCAAATTTCTAAAACTATCTGAAAAGCTTATAAAATGTCGATTTCAAAACTGACGTTTTGATTTGAAAAAACGTTTTTCTAAATGAATCTAATCTGAATAATCTGGTTTTAATTTGCACCAAGACTTTCGGAACATGGATTAGATAAATAGTGTTTGAGAAACAAGTATATCTGACAGCTGATGTGGGGATTTTGAGGAAGAGATAAGCTAGTATTTTTTCAATGGTGGGTGTCAACGTAGAATTCGGCAAGAGACGAAGAAAAGAGGTGTGCAGTTTGTTCGTGCGTCATGCAGACAAGGACCGAAGTTCATTTCATTTGACTATAATTTTGTAGAATTTCATTTTGTTTGAAGTTCAGTGGCTGCATAATATATTGCTTTGCTCAAAACAGATTGGACCCTCAACAAACCCAGTTAGTGAAGACAGTGCTTCAAGTCCTAAAACGCTAAATTTGACAACTTCTAACCAGACCATGTAAAACCATGTAAAAAACCATGTTCGAAATGCTTTTCCAAAGGAAAACTGGGAGCCCCGATATACTTTTAGTAGCATGGTCGGATGCATAAAGTCAAATCTTTGTGGCTTTCGCATCATGTAATACTGGACGGACCTGTACGACCACACTCTAAATACTGTTCACTCGAAGATCATCATAATGTTATTAGTATTACCTGTCTCATTTTGCGTAACGTATTTTATTTTCCCATCGATCAAGACAAGTTGAAGAGAATAAATGTAGAAAATGTATATAAAATATTTCATAGTGTGCATAATACGTTGATTAGTTAATCAAGGCTAAATAATGTTCTATGAATACTGTTGCCATCATTTATATAAAATAAACAAAATATAAATATGCTGAAAATAGGAAAGAAACTATAATTATTTTTTTATGCCTAAAAGAACAAGAGACTAATAATCAAGGTTAGGAAGAAAAACAATATAATAACAAAATATTATAGAACAGTCGACTTAAATGAGAAATTAGAAAATTTTACAATATTTATTTGCTACATATGTCTTTCTCACTTAATGAGGGTTTTTAATCATCTTCGTTCAATGTTGATATGCAATTATCGTGATACTGATTGTACATATATAAAGCATATTCTACAAATAAATAATCAGCATCATGGATTTTTACGTATATCGGAAGACATACTTCAGATATTGCACCCGTACATTCATCAACACTACTCTCTCTCTCTGCTTGTAGACCATCCGATCTTCATTCTTTTCGTAACCGATAATGCCAATAAAAAGAACTATATACTTTAAATAAATAAATAAAAGTTTTAAAGTACAGGATCCACTGTCATATCGTAACTAACAGGAATAGACAAAAAAAACAAAATCTGGTGCAATCGTAAAAGAGAAATAAAATGCGGTGGATATGTTTTTCATTTCATCTAACTCATCATCTTCACCATCACGGTGATGAACGATGATATGTAGTGAGTATACTCTATGTTCGACCGTCTTCAAATTGTTGCTCAGTAATAAATAGCCATTGTTGATCGAATGATATGTCGTTTCTAACTTGTCTGATATTTTGATGGTAACAAAATTTGGAGGTGGTGCAGTGAAGAAAATAGATTTAAGTAAGAAATATAGCACTGCGACAAAATGCATGTTCAAGTTATCACTTAAAACACTACTCGAGCTTTAAAATTTGGAGGTGGTGCAGTGAGCTCGAGTAGTGTTTTAAGTGATAACTTGAACATGCATTTTGTCGCAGTGCTATATTTCTTACTTAAATCTATTTTGATGGTGTTCGCTACTTCTCAAAATCAAGTAGTAAAATCATTTAAACGTACTAGCCGGAAAAACTCATAGAGTGATGATGACTAAATTCACAAAAATATGGCCACTTAAGAGGAGCAAAGTGCGCATCCAGGCAAACATTTGACCAAAAATCGAAAGTCTATTTTTTCCGGATTCAAAGAGGAAAAAATATACTTCAATATGTGCTTTATTTAATGGCATGAAAATTTTTGTTTCAGATGTTAGAATCGAGAGGAAATATATAGACAAAAAGTAGCTTGAAAACACAGGTACATGAGATTAAAATTACTAATTTTTTTATTTCTACAAAACTTTAAATAAAAACGATAAAGATTCTGAATTCAGACTCTTTGGGCTTTCTGGCAATGAAGAAATTTCTCAACTTATAAATCTCTCAACTATACCCTCGGTGAAATACAATTAGTTTTCAGACTAAGTGGTTTTCCATACAGCTGTGATTCTGTAACTAAAACTGAATTTATTTTTGTAAAGAACATATGGAAATTACAAGAAAGCAAAAGCATGTTTAAATGTAACACTAGTTAAGACAAACATACACACACAGCTAAGTTTCGACACTGGAAAAATGTTGTTTTAATACAGTGTTAATGTGGTGTAGTTTTGACATTGGATCCGTTTGTTATGTGAGTTTCTCCCAGTTTGACGAGTGAATGGACGACTGACAAGATTGCTATGAGAAAGAACTCTGTAACCAGGGTAAAGTTTATAGAAATAAACTAAATGTGAGTAGTCTCTACGGTAAGATAATAATGGCAACTTCACCTGACAGATAGCATAAATTAACATTCCTGATTAGTTCCTCGACTACGCCACGGGTTTTCCAAAAACCGTTGGTTTTTCAGCTAAAATCTATTTTTCTCAGGCTAGGAGCACTTTTAAGAGAAACCAAGATGATATTTGGAATCAGTGCGTGAAACTGCATACATTGTATGAACAATGTATAACACAATAAGTCTTGGATAGAACAAATAACCATCGAAATTTTTTCCTATGAACCTGTAAGGTCATCTAGTTTTTTGTAAAAATAGGCGTTTTTCTTTAAGGGCAGCAGATATGAGTAGAGAATGATAATTAATCATAAGAAAAACGGTTAAAGATTTTGATGTTCGCCTGATATTAGAGAACTGCACATTGTAGGAGGCTATTGGATCTCTGTGTCAAACTAATAAAACTAGTGAGCTCTTCAGGTGGAAGCGTTCCCATGATGACAACTCGAATGGAGCACGTTCATAAAAAACTGAAGTTTCAATTTAAGTCGATTGCTCTTTATCACAAGATGGAGATCTGCTTAAGTATTCTTTAGTTTTTGTCTAACAATAGCTAAGTTGCTTGAAATCTGGTCACTTCACGTCACCCGACACACACTATCGATAAATTGTTATGCACATTTTACCGTTCATTTTGAACATTAAATGTAACATAGATGTTTTTCGTTCGTTAACAATCATGGCACAAGAACAAAAATTCAACTAACGAATATGACAAAAAAATTTCTCACAATAATATCACCTATTATATAGAAAGACAAACGTAGAGTAAAAGATAGAAGTATGGTTTAAAAATGAACATACAATAACTATCCTTTTGGGAAAAAAAACAATAATACATGAAATATAAAAATAGAAACAACTTTCTTACTTCTCATCATATCACGGTATTTGTTACAAACTCTATCAGAATAACGAAACATAAAATCAGATGTACAAAGACAAATTAATCTGAATAAAGTTTTTTGAAAACTATATATTTGAAAAATATTTAGAAAACCATTTAATCACATATATTACCGAAAATTAAATTGTAAAAACTTCATATATTACATATTGCTGATGATGACTGAAGCTTGTGTATTAACAAATTTCATAGGAACCATCTAGAAGAAACAAAAGTATATTATGTACATTTCAAATATAAACATTTTTTATCAAAAATGTGTAACAGTAAGAGAAATTAGACGATATAATCAATAAACGTACTTTGGTTTGTTTTATCTAATAGTAATATTGTTGCTTCTTTCTCTGCTTGTGCTTCTCTTTCATTGTCTTCTCCAGCTAATCGAACAAATATCTGTTCTAGAGTTGTTTGTGTTACCGAATAACTTTCGATTTCTTTTGCTTCTTTTTTTTGATTTAATAAGTCAAATACTCGGGCTAAATCAAATATGGGTGGCAAGCTACGATTATTAACATTCAAACGAGCTGAGTTAAATGGTACATTACAAAATAGCATGCCATTATGTTGATCTATAAAAGAATGGCAATACTGAATTTGCAAAAAAATGTTAGTTAGAAACTTGATAAAAGAAATACCATTAAATTTAATTCCAGGTAAATTTGTTTTAAGATTAATTTTAAATTTTTCAGTGTCATCCACTGAATGTAGTTTAATTTGTACAGCATAACCATTACCAAATTTATTTTTTAAATGTTGCAAATTACCGAGACATGTGAATTGTCCAAGTTTCATTATACCTAGACGTGTACATAATGCTTCACACTCTTCCATGCTAAACATCAGTATTATAAAGAAATTCTTTGCATTCGTTAAAGATTGAGGATAGACATTTACAGTCCATGTTTAATAACTTCTTACCTGTGACTCGTTAAAATAATTGTCGTTCCAGTATCTCTTGCCGCTCTAATTACGTCCCATAATTTCCGTTTGGCAGCTGCATCTAAACCGGTTGTTGGCTCATCGAGAAAAACGAGTTGAGGATTAGCCATAAAGGCTAAAGCTGCTGAAACTTTTCGTCTATTACCACCACTTCAAAAAAAAATAAGAAAACACAAGATAAATAAAATAATTTCGAGTATATGATATGAATTTACCTAAGATTCTGTACTTCACATTTTTCATATGAATCTAAACCGAATAGCTCAATTGTATTTTCACACATAGTTGTTATATCATGCTCATGTAATCCTTTTAAACGAGCAAACAATGTTAGTGTTTCATGTACGCTTAAATTGTGTACAAGCCAATCAAATTGAGGACAAAAACCAATTTCAGTGTCAGTTGTCTAGAATGTACAAAGGCATGTTTGTAGCAGAATCAATAGTACAAAGCTTGTCAGCATCATCCTGTTGAATAAAAAATGGTGAATTTTGCATTTAATTTCAGAGAAATATTGTTATAACATAGTAGAAAGAAATGACGGCAGATGATACTGCGTTAAGAGGTACTTAGTAATCCCCCCATAATAGAAGACCACCTGGTCTTTGTTTGTCCCGTAAGTCGAGTTCTAAAGTGTGACCATCTATTGCGGTCAAATTTTCTCGCCTGCTACTATTCCAGCAGTAACCCCTCACATACTTGAAGCCCATCCACTATTAGAAGAACATTCTGGCGAAATGTTTTTGAAAACTGCTCTATAAGAAGGGCATTTTCTGATGTTTTTGGCGGACATAATAGAAGGTCACTGGTCTTCTATTTGACTTTCAAATCATATATTCGGCAGTGGTCTTCTAATTGGCGATGGTCTTCTATTATGGGGGCGGGGAAGTTAGTTTTTCTTCTACACTACGAAATATAAGCGTTTATAAGAGAGGAAGATTCCTCTTCTTATGCTCAAAATAATAAAATTGAGTTTTCAGATTCGATGAAAAAAGGAAGATGTACATCTTCCTACAAAATACATTATCTTATTATGACTTGTTCATAATTATCATCACGCCTGATCACTAGGTAGTTGAATATCGTCATGAGTGAACATTTGCCTGTTCAAAATGTGAGCTTTTTACTTTTTATTGATAACACATTTTCTTATGAATCAGTATTAACTATTTATGTTATCGATCAACGAAGAAAAGCAATCATTGGTTTTTATAGCCACCAGTAGAGATATGCAGTGATACTATTTTCGTAGCCGTACCCGACCCGAACATTTTTTTTCACCCGTACCCGAGTCGACAATTTTATACCCGTACTCGTACCCGACTTGTGCCTAAAAACTTTCTCCATTTTGTTTTCCAGCTAAAAACTTTTGTTTTTCGGCTGAAGATGTCAAATTATCATTACGTTCTTAAGTAAGTCTTTTTTAAACCTTCATGTATTTTAGCTAAACTTCTGTATTAAGCTTTTGTGGGTTTTCCACTAAACCTTCCGTTTTTCGGGTAAATTAAAAAAAAATAGAGCCCATACCCGTAACTGTTATACCCATATCTGACAACTTCCCTGTCCCAACCTTCAAGTCGGGTACGGGTCGGGTTGCACATCATCTCTAGCCAGCAGTTAATTCGTCCCTAAACTTCAGTTATAAACTTATACATTCATACCAGGGCCAAGGACGTTTTTATGTAATAGCGCATTTTCATTAAACTCTACATCAAATAAAAGTCACACTTATAGTAAGCACTCAGCACTAATCTCAACATCTAGAGAGGAACATTTGTGTTAGAGGGGGGAACAGAAAGTGAAAAAACCGCCTTTAAACTTCAAACTTTCCTTCTTAAGAATAAAACGCTTAAGAGTTTTAACAAATAGATGTTTACTGTTTGTGTGATATCTGTTCCGTTGATAATGATATGACCAGAAGCAGGTTTCAAATCACCAATCAGCATACGAAATGTCGTTGTTTTTCCTTTAAAATATGAGAGCAAAATTGTTTTCGGTAAATGAGAAAGTTTTATATGTTCAATCAACTTACCAGCTCCGTTTGCTCCTAGAAAAAAAAAAAATATAATATTAATTTGCTCTCCTACTTTTTCGTTATCAAGATCTTAGCGTACGAAATGCCACGAATAATAGGCACTGGAACATTCTAAAAATAATATATCGCAAACGGATGTCGTCATTGGTCATTAACCGATAACTATAACGACATCACTTGCCTAAATGTCTTACATATTCACAACCTTTACCTTTCAAAGCAGCACTCTTACCTGTAAGCTGAGATATCCAAACTTAGGGCATTAACTTTTGAAAGAGAAGCCTCTCTATGAAGAAAAACTTCTGGCGATATTAGTAGTGTCACCAACCGCTTACTGTGGCACAGAATCTGTCACCGTTTATAACACATGCGACATATTATTGAAAAATACCAAGAAGGTAGCTGTGAATTTTTTATTCTTATATGCAAAATCTTATTAGAAAATTTCTTCCAAATCTTGACAATTTTCAAGATATTGAGAGAAAAAATCTTTTATATTCTCTTGTACTACAGGACAAACATAGATTCTTTCTCCAACAACTCTATCAGACAAAGAAAAGAAATTTTAAAGTTATTCTACGTGTGAAAATAATCGTACTTATATACAAACTAGAGTATGCAACAAACGATGATTCAAGAATTAAAAATATCCCGGATACAAGAAGTCAAGTTCTCCTTGTGTATCGTTCTTTATTCATTACTTTTTCTGCCCCGTACATGGTTTTAAACTAATTTTTACGGCCCAAGAATAGTCTTATTGAAATGGTATTAAGAACAACGAAAATTTGGTATTGTTATTCAGTCTATTGAATGAAAGACGATTTTCAACCATTTGAAAGAATTTTAGAGTTTACCGCAATAATGATCGTTTTTCACAATAAGTGAGGGTAAATCTGTTATATTCAATCTTGTGGTCCCATGAGAAAATAGTAACTATAGGAAGAACAAAGAGACTTTCAGCAGCTATTTCGATATTTCCATATCTCAACAAGGATAAAATCGAAAAAATTTTTTGTATTTTTCGTAAAGTGTCGGTAATTCAAAGTTACAGCAAGAAGTTTTTCGCTTCTTTTTAGTATTGTTGGACAGAGCTCATGGAGTTGCGCCGGAAAAATACAACTGCGCATTTTAAGAAGTCATTTTGTTGGTGGAAAAATTCCAAAATACCCATTCTTTGAAAACAAGCAAATTTTTCATATTTATTGTTTTTCTAAAATTCTAAAACCATTTTTTCTGATTCTCCATCTAAAACTCAGTATAAAAAGCTGAATTTGTAAATTTTAAAGTTGAAACTGACCGCCAAATTCACGAAACAGGAGCAGAATTGTAGCTACTCTACTGTCAAATTTGCAAACGTATCTAGTTGTTTCCATCGAAAGCCCTGATTGTTATTTCCTTCTAATCAATGTACTTGTAGGAAAAAGACTATGTAAAGCTTTTTTTAAAATTTGGTTTCGTTGCTGAGAAAATTCAGTTTTCTAAATCAGAGGCGAAAAAGCCAGAAAATTCGGCCTGTAATTTCAGTTTTTGAGCAATAAAAATACCATTTTTGGGATTAGGATCAAAAACTGAATCGACTACTGTGTATTTCAATCCTATCGGACTACTTTAATTTTTTTCAAGTTTTCACGTTGGAAAATTGCCGAGATTTTTACCCAAAACTGAAAATCAACTAAACATTTCAAAATGCATATTAGTCAGATAGGGTTGAAATACATATCAGTCGACTCGGTTTTTGATCCTAATTCCGAATATAATATTTTTATTGCTCAAAAATTGAGTTCTGATGGACAAAATTGAGAATTACGGGCAGAATTCCGACTTTTTCGCCTCTGGTTTAGAAAACTAAATTTTCTACACCTTACAACCGTTCACTTTTGCCTTCTGTAATTAAAAGTTACTAAAATGTTCGTAAAGAATTAGAATGACAAATCTCTTTAAAAATATCGAAATTTAACGTGAAATAACCATGTCATATAATACTGAGAGAAATATTCTGTTCTCTACCATTCGATGTACTAACCTAATAATCCAAAACAAGATTGTTTTGTCACTCGAAAATTTAAATGATCAACAGCCGTATAAACTCTTCGATGTAACGATTTTTCTTTCCGTTTTTTAAATGTTTGATATAAATCACGAACAACTATAACAGGTGGTGCTGTTGTATGATTTGGATTTTTGTCATTATTTACAATCAGCATCCTCTCTCTTTGAACATCACCATCAAGATGCTAGAATAAGCATAGAATCAAACAGAGTAAGACTAACTGATAAACATACTAAAACTTACTTTATCATCCCAATATTCCAAAATAGCTTCATTCTTCTTACATTGTTTTATTGTCTTCCAATTTTCAATTATAACAAGTATAATCCACCACAATAGCATTTGTATAAAAAATAACATTAATTGTATTCCGACACCGGGTTCTCTCAAGGATAACCATAATTCATTGTAATTATAATTAGCTTAAAACATAATAAACATAATTTATAGCAAAATAATAAATATTTTTATAAAACCACATAGGATTTCAACGTTTACTCATCGTTAATCTTGCACTAACGAAGGAAGTACCCTAGCTCATAAATCACTCTTTTCACTAAACCTAGTGTGTTATAGGTTATCGATCACACTGATTCTGAATATGCATATGAGACGGGCTGCCAGGCCTTCCTAGAGCGATTTTCTGAAAAATCAGTTTTCCAGAAACTTCAAAAAATCTCTGAAACTATTTATTAATAAGCCATGATTGTAGTCCCCGAAAGTCTGATCAAAACGAGACATTCCTCAGATCTACACGACTTTTTCTTTATATATCTCTGAGCTGACAATGAACATTTAGGGCTTTTCTCGTAAACTCTATAACTTTGCAAAGAAAGGTCGTGTGGGCCTGGGTGAAGTCTCATTTTGATCAGACTTTCGGGGGCTACAATCATGGTTTATTAAGAAACAGTTTCGGAGATTTTTTGGTTTCTGAAAAACTGATTTTTCAGAAAACCGCTCTAGGAAGGCCTGGAGCCCGTCTCATATGGATATTCAGAATCAGCGTGATCGATAGCCTATAACACACTAGATTTTGTGAAAAAAACGATTTACCGGTTAGGGTACTTCCTTCATGAGTTACACACCAATAATATGTGGAAACTTACTAGCTAATATGGCATTAAGAGCATTAATACATTGATTGTTATCATGTAGACGTACATTAAACAATGCACGTTTAAAATTAACCGTTGGAAATGCAGCCGATAATACCCAACGTAAAATAACCAATACTCTAGTTGTTTTAGTAGGTTTTGTTGTCGATAAATTTTGTCCTTCAGTGAATACTTGAATGAAACTTATTACCATGTCGAGAAAACCTGATGAAAAAGAATAAGTACAAATAAAATTATCACTATTAGGGATGGCAGTATTACTGTTACTTATGTATTACAATACCGAGGAAAGTAATACTGTAAGGTATTCCTATTACTGGTAATAGTAATACTTTCAGTATTACTGTTACCAGTAATAGGAATATTCATAAAATTAGTATTACTTTCCAGTAAAGTAATACAAGAAAATCTTTTTTAAAGAATATTCAAAAGATTTCCTAAGGTGTTCTTGGATGAATATTTCTACCAGAAAACTTTGAAAAGTCCAATGAACAGTTTCTCTTTTTGCTCTGCTGAAATTTCTACTATCCTTTTCAAATTATGAGGCCTGCGGCTGTTTGTCGAATAAGTCAAGAATGAAAAGAACGAAAGAATTCGGGTTTCCAACATCCAAAAGAAGCAACTTTGAGGCATCTTTTTATATTAGACACTAACTCAAAACCTTTTCCTGAAGTAGGTTTCCGAGGAGATCTTTGGAAAACCAGCTCATAGCTCAAAATCTACAAATATGAACATTTTACTTTTTCTTCATGGATACATAGCCCAAAGTGTTCTGTTCAAAATGGGAGTCAGATGAGACCTTGGTTTCCAGTGGTTCGGACATGGTATCAGACGTCCTTGGAGCCACAGGACTGGTATTCGGTAACTTTAGGTAGTCTTGAAATCGCATAGAACTGACACGCTGTAATACTGAAAGTATTACTATTAGCAGTAATAGGAATATATACAATATTTATATTACTGATAACAGTAACAGTAATGTGCCAGCCCTGATTACTACTTTAAAACAAAAGTATATTACATACATGTAACAATATTTACGATAAAAAAATTAACAAATCCGATTAATTCTGATTTTGCCGCAAATGATGTTACATAAACAAACGGGATGGATGCCAATGAATATGAGACGATCAAAATAAGAAATAATGCAACTGAAGTTGTAGAACGAAATGTAGCAACTTCAGCGTCTGTATTAGAAATCACTTTAGATGCGATCTAAACAAAAATATTTTGACGATTAAAACAATCTGTTATATACAGAAACGTAATTATGAAACAATTTCTTTCGAAATTCATCTAACGACAGCACTATCTCGAGTAATTTTCCTTTTGTTTTTTTAGAACATACTTTGTTATGGGTAATTTTTGATGTCAATCATGAATCGAATATTTGTTTGTCAACATGGACTCTTCCTGGACGATCTTACAGAAATTCGATCACTGGACACATGCTGATACGTCCAGTTTGTAGAGAACATAGAATTACTGTGTAGAAAGTTGTTCGTACTAACATATTAGCTTACTCAGAATTATACTTTCACTAAGATAAAAAGTTGACAAGTTTTAGTTTTTTATTAGCTTAAGATGAGAACGCTTTATAATTCTAAGCAAGCTGATATGTTAGTACGAACAACTTTCTACACGGTAATTCTATGTTCTCTACAAACTGGACGTATCAGCATGTGTCCAATAAAGGTTCATGATGCTTTCACAGTGATCGAATTTCTGTAAGATCGTCCAGGAAGAGTCCATGTTGACAAACAAATATTCGATTCATGATTGACATCAAAAATTACCTATAACAAAGTATGTTCTAAAAAAACAAAAGGAAAATCGCTTGATGAGGCTTTCTTGTTAGGAAAAAGGCTATTATGGATATACAGTGTACAAGTTATAAAGAAAAAGTCATCTTGCTACAGACATAAATCATGACGTTTGTCGAAGTTTCTCACCTTGATCACGATTGTTAATAGTGCACTAATTACAAGAGATGATGTAAAATCATAGATGGCATTTGTAAACCAATAAATAATTTTACTCAAATTAGATAATAATTGTAAATCTTTTGAATGTGTTATTCTCTCTCTGACAAAGACTATCATTAATACTGATATATAGAGAGCAGCTATTATAGAATTCATAAAATTAAATAATGATAATGGTAATGTATCAAAACAATAAATAATTTCAAAAAATTGTGTTAGCAATGATACATTTCCACCTGTTGTTATAATTGGTTGATTTGTTGTAACAATTGATTTTGTCGATGAATTTGAATAATATTGAAATAATTGTGTAGCTGCTACACCTAAACTAACGGCCATTGTATGATAATTTACTGAACTGAAATAAGCGTCTAATGTTAATGATGTTGAATTGTCGAACAGTGCAAATGCCAATTGATATGTATGAACAAATATTGTTTCTGTTTGCAGAAATCGACTAGTAACATACGTCATAATATCATCCGCGAATACTTGATTAATTTTTGTACTTTGACTTGATAAAGATAAGACTAACTGACTTGACTGACTATCATTATTCACAATAATTGTTTGAGGATTATAAATAGATGGAATTAATTGAACATATGCACCGATAATTCGATCGTTTTGTAATAAACTTGATTGTATTTGTTTTGGTGTAGGAAATACGAATACAGTTATAATCTCAATTAATAATGGAGAAAAGATAAAGCCAATTAGAAACACTAATTGGCGATGGGTCATAATCAAACGTTTAACAAATAATGCATAAAAATGATTGAACAATAAACGAACAGTACCAACACGTACGTGTTTCATTTGAAATACTACAAACAGAAATAGATCAACTAACACAAGTATTTTCACGGAATAACTTGCAAAATAAATTTCCTATTCCCTCATATTCCCATTTTGTGACACAGACATCTAGTCACTTTTTCACGTCATGGTTTCATAGATATTGTGCTTATGTTGAGAAGTTCAAATCGTCAATGACTATAGGAGAAAACACCCTGTCCGATAGAAACTCGTCGAGTATTGTCTCTGAAAAACGTAAGATTTTCTTTAAAATGATGAAAGCTCAGAAAGTCATGAATTCCACAAACTCGAAAAATTTCATCTAAGTCAACGAAAGAGATGGCACTTCGACAAGTAGCCCGCACATTTCTGATTAAAATGAGAGATCTCTCAGCTCTTTATGACCTTTCTTTGCAAAGTTGTAGAATTTGCAAGATAAGCCCTAAATCTTCATTGTCAGCTCCAAGATATAGAAATAAGAAGAAATTAATTTAAAGCTTTTCTTGTAAATTGTATAACTTTGCAAAGAAAGGTCGTGTAGAGCTGAGAGATGTCTCATTTTAATCAGAAATGTGCGGGCTACAATCATGCCTCATTAAGAAAGGTTTTGGTTATTTTTCGAGTTCTTGAAAAACTGGTTTTCCAAAAAACTGGATCTTTAAGAGTCATGGGCACGAATCCGTTTAGGGTATTTACTACCTCAAGGAGGTCTATCGGTCCATGTAGAAATCATTGGAATCGGAAAGGGACATCTCGAAAGGTTCCCTCGTGAGTCGAAATGGCATTTCTTTCGTTGACTTAGATGAAATTTTTCGAGTTTGTGAAATTCATGATTTTCTGAGCTCTCATGATTTTACAGAAAACACGACATAAGTTTCAGAGGTCTTATATTTTTCAGAGACAATACTCGACGAATTTCTATCGGATAGAGAGCGTTTTCTCCTACAGTCGTTGACGATTTGAACTTCTCAACATAAACACAATTGTTCAAGCTCTTCAATTAATATACTGCACAATTACTATCAAATTTATAACTAACCTCTAGTAGCTAAGTCTTTTCGGAATTTTTGACGATGTTCATACTCTTTTTCGTTTTCTTCTTCTCTGATAAGTCTAAGAACAATCATTACTGACATGTATATCATAAGATCATTAAATAAAGACTTGCGAAATCATACTTGAGAAATACTTCTTCAATTGTTGTCATTGATATACCGTATCCATTTATTTTTATTTCTTGAATATTTTTTTCTAATGCAGTAACTAATCGACTAATCTGTCTTGAATTATCTCTTGGTATACCGTAAACTAGTTCTGTTGCTGATTCTCGCTCTAGTATAGCTTTTCTAACATGCGCTTTCACAAACGCACTCACATGTTCACATTCGCACATTTCACTTTTATCAATAAATAAACGATATTCAAAATCTTAAATGTAAGATAACAAATGCATACCCGTCTAGATTTGTACGGTTGAAACGAATAAAAAAACTTATTGTAGAAGAATAAGAAACGTACCAGTTTGCTTCTTCAAAAAGTCTGGTGTACCATGTGCCTGCAATTTTCCTTTTGACATAACAGCAATTCTATCGGAAAGAACATCAGCTTCTTCAAGAAAGT